CCCCAAAACCCCAAAACCCCAAAACCCCAAATGACTATTATATTCTAATGAATAAAAGTAAATCTATTAAAATCAAAAGCTAGTGTTTTATAATTTCAAAGAAAGTAGCTCATTTTATAAAGTATTGATTAGCTGTAGTAAGTATAATACTAAAATCAGGAATACAATTGCAAGTCCAGCTGTGAAATATTAGTTGAATTTGATTGTTTAAGACTATAATTATACCTTAGCTTCCAGTTGAGTTATTTTATAATCATAATCAGGCATTTTATAATGATCAGTTTAGTCAGGTATTATTAGGTTATCAACTGCTTTTTAATCTTATTTTTATTTTTAAGAGCTCCCAGTATCATTTGATTAAACTGTGAAAATTTTATCATGCCTATTATCAACTAGCCTATTACCTAGTGTCATGTTATTAGGAATTCCTCAATAGATCTTGATCTTCATATCTTCCACAGTATGATAAAGTGATTCCTAATTCTAAATTTCGTTAATTTCATTTGATACCTGCTTGACATTTTTGCTTATGTTAATTGCCTTAATTTTCTCTTATACCCAGCTGCAATAATGAGTGAAATTGGTTTTGGTTGCTAGAGTTGCATTGCTCTCTATTCTTCCTTTGAACATAGTAGATTTTTTGAATACAACCTAGAATGTTGATCTTATCACACATCTACTATTATCTTCAGAATTCGGAGAGGTGATGATCCAGTTCTCTTCTGTGTTGAAATAATCACAATAAGGTACATCTTTCATTTAGTTAAATATTCTCAAATTCAGCATATTATCTTCCTTTTAAAGTAAAAGATAGTTCTTTGTTGTTGGGGATACCTTGACAAAGGTATTATCTTTCATCTGCATCTCTACAAACAGAATTTTATGCAGAAGAGGCTTTAAGCCAAAAGAATTTTTGAAATTATCATCAATAGTACTATTCCATTCTTAGTTATTTATTTTTTTCTCGCCTCTTGCAATGAAATAAATATCGAATGCAAATTAAGCATTATCTCTAATGAAATAATCATAAAACTCTTTAACTGATATATTAAGACATGCTCTGCCAAGTTCTTAATGACCTAATGGTGGCATAAAGGTACTCAAATGGTTATCTAATTCTTTATCAGTTATTATACGCTAGATTTTCGGTTAAACTGGGATTAACATAGATTGAGGATCAGCTTATTTTTATGGTGAATTTATAGCAAAAAGTTCTCTTCCACTAGTCTGTGGATTTTTAGATATGGTGCTCCTGAAATAATTAGTATCTAGTCTGATGGTTCTAGGGTCAAATGAACCCATATAAGCTTTTTTGCCATTAGATTTAACATTCAGCAAGTTTAATTATTGTTCTTCGGTTTTTTACCCTGGTAACAGATTCGTCAATCTCATGCTTTCATCAATCGACATTGATCTTCTCTTTGTAAATTGCTCAGCATCGTAAAATTTTACTACAGGATCGTCACTTAATTCATCCTCTTCATCAATGTCGTTCCTATGAAGTGATTCTGGTTGAAAGTTGAAAGTGTTTTTGAGTGATGAATTCTTCGCATATGGAGATTCCACATACCATAGCCTTTGGATCATATCAAATGTTTGATCTCTTCTTTTTATTCGTTTGAAGAAATATTTCTTTTAATCTTCTAAATAAAGCTTGATTGCATTTTGTAACAACCCTAATGATTTAGCCTTTTTAAGATACTATATTTTCTTGATTTGTATAACTACTTTTGTCTCTTGGCCAAGCATTTTACTATAGAAGCAAAGGAATTTATCAAAAATGTATAGTCTCCCAGAATTTTAAGTGACTCAATTTTTCATCACACAGCCAACATCATCAAGCAATACATTTTACTTTGATAAATCGAATAGTCTGAAAATAGTATCCTATGCAGATATTTTTTTCTAATCCATCTTAATTATTTTTAATTAAATATTTAATAGTTGTATTGCTTTAATGTTTTTATCGAAGAATTACTAAATTTTTTCCTCAATATTTTTGAGAATCTTAGTCTTAAGGGGTTTTGGGGTTTTGGGGTTT